TAGCTCCTGTGGAGGGCTCTTGATTGGGTCTTCATCACAATAGGTAGGGAGGAGTTGATGCGATAGGCTAAAATAAACTACAGAACTCTAAATTGTTCGCTGCATTTAAGTATTGCATTCATATTTAAGCTTGCCTTTTAAAAGTTCAACGATAATTCTTCTGCCGCCAATTAATTTACAAACAATTTGATATACGTAGGTCATTACTTTTCGTACAAACAATTATTTTTATTTCATGGATGACTTTCGCTGGAATTCGCAATTAATGTCGATTATTTCCCAAATTTATTTCCCTGTTATAAAAATTGATATTTTGCAAAACATTCGTAGCAAAAAATCACGTTAAAAATCGCCGATAACAATCGGAGTAATGAAAACTTGGGAATCCAAAATTTCATGATTGGGGGCCGGATCCTGCCTAGAATGTTTTTAATTTGTTCACAGAGTCGGCCTGATCCCAAAATGGTAGGATATGTTGGGCTACGGCGTAAAGTTGTAAATGTAATACACAGTGACACACTGACATTCGCATTTATTATATAGATGTTAAATACAAGTTTCCTTTTTGTTTCCATTTTCTCTAAAGGTTAGCCGTTACTCACAAGTTCGGTACATGGTATCCTCAGCATCTTTCTGACAATCTCCTTCAAGTGTCTTCATCCTTGAAGAGATTGTCCAGATTCGCTGTCATATAGGAGGACAGATATATATATATATTTTTTTTTTCTATTTCTTAATACCCTGCCTCCCGCCCCAATCTTTGCATTTCTTGCATATTTATATTTCATGTTATGCCAGATTTCTCGCTAATTAAGTTTCTTCATCATAACTGACAAGCAAAATATCCCACCCTCAAATGAATGGCCAGTGTTCGATGCCCAGCAGAGTCGGCCACGGGGATTGAAACCCTCACCGCTGCGTGACGTGTTATTTAAAATAACACACGTGACAGCTTCATTGACATCCGACGCCTGTCCCTTAAGTTGTGCTGCTAGACGTCTATTAGATCTGACGACATGTGACTGAGGGGAGTGTGTCCATGCCAAATTTCTAACATTCCAAACCCGTACAGGCGACCGTCATTGTATACACGTGATAGATCACGCCTTGAAATTTAGTAATAATATAGTTCATAATTACATCATCTGTAAAAACCAGACCCCTGCACCAAATGGCCCGAAAAAAAGATCAGCTTTCACGACAATAAGGTTTTACTAATTTAATCTTCCGTGTTGGAATAGTTAAGGATGCCTTTCAAAAACAAGAAAAAAAAAATGTATCAAGAAACAGAAATGTCTTCAGCAAAGAAAAGATTGCTGGTCTGCTATCAATCGTCCCGTAGTGATTTTCCAAGCGTAGCTTAGAAATGGCACCAGAACGAAAGTATGGGGCACCCCTTGAGGATCGAACTCACTACACAGTTGTAATTAATCTAGCGAGACAAGCTTGCTAACTATTACACCTCATTGAAGGGCCCATATCAATCGTCCTATATGGCAGTGAATGTTGGACAATTCCCTCACAGATGAAAAGGAGACTCGAGGCAAAAGAGATGATTTTAAAGAAGGAGGTTGAGAATACCATGAACTGAACATATGAACAATAAGGAAGTGTTGAGGAAAAAGACACTTAAAAGAAAATAGTGCTGACCTGCTATGTAATATCAATCGTCTTTCTATGGCAGCGAATGCTGGACAATTTCCCCACGGATTAAAAAAAGACGAGGCAACAGAGATGTGATTATACAGAAGCTACAGGAGGCTAAGAATACCATTGACTGATCATGTGAGCAATAAGGAAGTTTTAAGGAAAGTTACTTAAAGAAAAAGAGTGCTGAATTGCTGTATAATATCAATCGTGGCAATGAATGAAGGCCAAAAGGAGACTTGAGGCAACGGAGATGTGATTCTACAGAGAATACCATGGACTGAACATGTGAGCAATAAGAAAGTTTTAAGAAAAAAGACACTTAAAAGAAAAGAGTGCTAACATGCTATGTAATTGGTTGGCAGAAAAAATAAAAGGGAATGTAACTCAATACATAACCCGTCCAAGCACCCTGACCACAATGGCCAGGGACCTGCGTTTCTCCCCTCTTGTCTGCTTTCAGCGAGAAGTCGCCGTGTTAAATAAGGGAGTGTAAACATTAACTGGTCCTGCAAACTACGAAAAATCTTAAGAAAAATAATTCAGAAAAACCTTTACAAAGTGTATTCCGACTAGGTTCGTAAGACTGAAAGAACTAAAAAGCCATTAGGCTTATGATAAATCTTAATGAACAGACGAGCAATAAAATTGAAGGGTGTGTGGCAACGCAATGAAGAAAAGGTCAACGTTATGAAGATATAACGTCTACCCTTGGTCACACGGACGGAGTAGCAAAGAGCTACAATAAGAGATAGATAGATAGATAGATAGATAGATAGATAGATAGATAGATAGATAGATAGATAAAAAAAAGAAAGAAAGAATACAAATAAAGAACGAAAGACAATGTCATATAGGAATAAAGAGTCGCTGCCGACACTTGAGTTTGAACACGGATCGCCAAAGAACAAGCACAGTCGGCCTCATTTTTAAATAAGTAGTTAATGTAACGGGTAAAGGATATATATATATATATATATATATATATATATATATATATATATATATATATATATATATATATATATATATATATATATATAATGGACTCTCCCATCGGTTTCGACGTATGAGGATCTGACAGCTTAGTTATTTCAGTTATGAAAGTTTGTGCGATAATCTTAAGTGGCATTTAAGACCCGCTATTGATTTACAAAGGAGGCCACATATGGAGCAAGTGTGAGGATTGTGAGATGAGATCACTGTTAGATTGGCTGACCTTTTAGATCTTGCTCTGGCTTCTTGAAGATGATTCAGACAAGCAGATTGAAAATATATATATATATATATATACGGGAATTAGAGGCGTCTGACCGAGTGTTCTTCAAAGGCGTTACTATTATTGTATCTGTGATTTAAAAAGTCTCTTCCACAAGAGAAAGAAAGAATGGGAAGAGAATTTAGATGGGAAGATGAAATATCTCATACGTTTAAACTTCTTCCAGATGCAAAGACAAAAAATTCTGAATCAATTTTTAATCTTTTCATTTGTACTTTCTTACTCCTTTAAATAATGTCATACTTATCGGTCGTTGTTACAATAATTTGCTTTTTTAAGTTGCTTATCTCAGATATTTAACGATGCAATCGAGGAAGTTATAACCGTGAAATTCACAAGGAGCTTATTCAGTCATTAAAAATGATGATTCATCAGGAAATTCAAATAGAGGAGCGGTTAAATTTTCACCAGTGGTGCTATTATTCTATTAATTAAATTTAGCACTTTTGCAGTGTGTGGGGACAAGTAGCTAGCTTTGTCACGTGCACTAAAGACCCTAGCACAAGGCCTGCATCTAGTCGTAATCGGACGTAATAGTCTCAAGTCGTTGGTTTTACTTAGATGCAGCACTATAATTATTCTTTGTCGTTTTAGATTTTCTTTCAGGGTAGACTATAAAATAACTTAATTTTATTTTAATACTTTTTTGTCTGGGGTTTTGAGGAGCGTGGAACCGCTTCTTAACAGCTGGCATCCCCAGGTCCACAAAAGGTGTAATATAGCATTGTGTTGCATGCGACACGTAGTTTGCTGGGGTCTAAGAAGCCCCCGGAGGAGAAATAGACGCGTCTTGTCCCTACGGCATCCAGTGGTTGTAAAGCGAAAGGGCACAAATATCCACCAGTGAGTTCATTGGTAGATATTTGTGTCCTTTCATTTTATACTACTTTAAACACGCCATCTTTGTTTTAATCGTTTCACCCCAAGCAAGGCGATAATACCACTAAGACGCAGGGGATTAGAGGGAGTGAAAGAAAATAAGAAGATTGAGAATGAGGGTCGGGTAAGGAAAGAACAAAAAAAGAAACAGGGTTCAAGATGACAGAAGATGGCGATCGATGTTGCATTTAAATTTTTGAAGATTGTCTTTATCAGGGAAGCAAGAAATTGGGAGGAAGTACCACAGGTGGGAAGTGCGAGAAAAAAACTGTTGGAGTAGAAATGACGATTGCATTTAGCTAGTTCAGCAGTAAAAGGGTGGGACCTTGATGCTAATCTATTCAGATCAGTTATGTGTCATAATACACGCTTAGGCGATCATGTATCTTTCGATACCTGACAGACGAGGCAGATTCTTTTTTTCCCGCAGTAGGTTGCCATTTCTTTCTGCGTTAGACCAGTGGCCATCAAAAGGGACCCCAGTCTGTCCTGCTATTTACCCATAGCTGGAGAAGAGGAGGATTCATACCTTTCCGAGTGGTATTAGCATGTAAGTGAATATAATGGATTCAACTGAAATTCGAACTTTATCCATAGCTGGAGAAGAAGAGGATTCATACCTTTCCGAGTGGTATTAGCATGTAAGTGAATGCAATGGATTCGACTGGAATTCGAACTCGACTCTCCGATTCCTCAATCCGAGCCGCTATCCATTACTCCACCGTAGCACGCTTAAATTCGTGCAGTCAAGACACCTGGGGGAAAAAATGCTCGTAAGAGCAGTTGCCATTAAAATATAACTAAAAATGACAGTGGTAAGCCACGTCACGTCGGTGAGAAAGTAACTAGATACGAGATGCCTGGTCAGGATTGATTGCATTCAAAGTGGGCGATTGGGGAATTCCCCTGGAAGAGAAGGTGCGGTAACCTCACAAATGACCTGGATTTCAGCATGCACGTGAATCTATTTACGTTTGTATGGCGAATATCGTTTGATGACTAGAGAGTTTCGATAAGAAAAGAAATGATCAAAAGGTCCGATGAACTTGTTTCATTGCCAGAACAAGTCAAGCAATGACACGCACGGTCTCTCACAGGCAAATATGTTCACACGAATATTTAGCGATGAAAAAGAGAGGCGGGGCCGGCCAAATGACTTGCGCTATTCGGGTGCGCCTGTAACGTAAATCGGTTACCGGCGTAGAAAGCAGCCTAGGCTGGCTGAGTTCGAATTCCAGCCGCGTCTCCTGTGATCTTTTTTTTTTTTTTTTGGTTAAATACCTGTGGAAAAAAAAATGAATTTATTTCTTCTGCTTCCAGAATTGCAGAACAGGCTCTTTAGACTTGGCTAGTAACCAGTCTAGGAGAAAAACACAATTTTGAATTCGATATTGGTTGTGCGTGGAACTAGCAACGCAACCCCATAATGTGTCGACTATTGTCCGAAACCTTTATTGCCATATTCACGACCTTTCGGCCATTGTACGCGCCGGCCTTTTTCAGGTGATTGGAAATTCAAGCTGAATCTCGTCCATTAGAGTGGATTATTCTAGTTCCACGTGCCATGCCTCTTACGGATGCCTCCCTCAACTCTCCAAGTTTTTTGTTTACCATGAGTATTGAACTCACATTTCTTTAGGTCAAGTCACTGGATCCAACCGTTTTGGGACTTATAAACTTAATGTCTCAGTAACCCCCCCTTTTTTTTTACCAGCACTCATATTGCAATTTTCTTGTTGTTATTTCTTTGACTCTATCATTCCGTATTACTGCTTCCCATAGTGTATTCATTTCTATGCTTGGCCAACTTAGGAGATTTTTGTAGCTTGCATATGTGTTGATTACTTAAGTTTTCGTATTTCCCAATGATGGTCTCTGTCTATTATTCCAACCTCAACCCTCAGGGAACACTGAACTCTTTTTTTCTCTCATATGTGGTCAGCTCCGCCTGATTGTTCTATTTCCCCTCGTGTTATGGCTTTATGATATACTTAAAGTCCTATCTTAAGTGAGCGGCCTGTTTCTCCTTTATATTTCTTACCACAACTGCACGGGATGGCGTACACTCAGTCCTTAGTCATGTATATTCTCCTCTATGGAGGTGGGCTTACTAGGAAGAGGTGTCCGCGAAGTGTCAAACCACTTTTTAATATGTACCTTATGGTGACTTTCTAAGCGCAGCTTAGATATGGCACTAGGCCGAAAGAGACAAGCTTGCAAAACATTACACTGCGTCGAAGTGTTCCTAATAGGTGTCATTTTCAAAGCTTTATTTTGTTTTATTGACGTGGAGCTGATCGATAAATTTTGACAAGTGACAAGTCAACATACGAGATATTGTGGCGCATACGTGGCCTATGTAAGAATCTAATGTTGTTTTTTGATAGTTGGTACTGGAGATGCAATCTCCCATAGGACATGAGAATTCATAATCAGCCTTATTTTTACATAGTGGGGATATTTGAGGTCCCGAATTGCTAGATGTGTAAAAAATTTCATCGAAATCGGATGAAAACAGTGAAAATGAATAAACATCCGATCACACATACAGACACGCATACACACACATCTTGAGAATTATATATATATATATATATATATATATATATATATATATATATATATATATATATATATATAGATTTTTGTACTATTGTTAAATTCCAATAACCCAAAAATACTATTCTTAAAAGAATGCTCAATACAGAGTAGGGCAAATATCATTTATTCGAAAATTATAACATAAATATGTTATAAAACCACATAAAAAATAAAACAATAAAAATCATAAAACATGATTTAAAATCACATAAAACATAAAAATGTTATAAAATACATTTTTATGTGATAATTTTCGAATAAATGATTATATATATATATATATATATATATATATATTGGGGAAATGTATGGCAAAGTAGAAAAAGGTTTTTCTCCAATATTGTTCTTGATATATAAATTTATACCGAGTGTAACAGCAAAATTGTTTATTTGTTAGATACAGCTCGAAACCGTTGTCTCTTAGAAATGATTAAAGATATCTTACTGGAATTCTTCGAGGTTTTCATAACACTATTGGACTCTACTTTGAACAATAAGAATATATAATTATTTTCTAAGCTTAACAGAAGTATCGTGATGAAATCGATAATAAACAAAAATGAAATGTTCATCATTAATTAATCATAGCTAAGGATGGATCGAAGCTCAGGAAGTATTGAAATAAATTTCAAATCGATTTAATATATATATATATATATATATATATATATATTATATTAAAATAAATTCCCTATTCACCAATTAAAAAACAAGGTCGAATTTACGCTTATAAACTCCAATCTTCCATGAATCTCGTACATTCATAACTGCTCTGGCGTATCGAATGTAAACAAATGACGTCATATATGTTATTCGACCTTGTCTACCGATTGGTTTCATTAACTGTAGCCTTAGGTTAAGGCACGTCAGCGTATATGACGGTTCCGTATAGGATGCAGGTTCGAATCCTGTCAAAGAACGAATATTTTCTATGAAAATTTCTCGACATTCAGGCCGGTAAATGTTATTTAATACTGTTTATCATAAACTGAGCATTTGCTTAAATACTTGTATCTATAAAATAACAACGTTAAACATAAAAAAAAAAAAAATGTCTTTAATAAATAAATTGTCGGACCTTGTCCATTTCTTAA